CTTTTGATTTGCTTTGATGTGAAGTCGCTTGTGAGGGGCGCGTGAATCGCGAACTGAGCGTGAAATTTTGAAAGAAGCTTGGAAATGTGAGCGTGACCGCGTCCTGGCGATTACTCGTTGCTACAGTTGAATGAAACGGTCACTGTTCAGACGCACTCGCACATTTTCATGATTCTCTTTCGTACATTGTAAACAGTAGTGGTCCTTGCATTTAGAATTTCAGTACGTTTGATCTGAGCGACTGAAGTTTCGCGTGAACTATTTCGTGGAACTGATCGATCGAAGTTTGATGACAGTTAATTGTTTGTCTCAACTAGCTTCTATTTTATTATAAAAAGTCGTGCGTACATAAATACATTAATATTTTAAAACACGTGTTCTTCGGTGTGCAATTCTGAACAGCGTTTGATATTCCTCTCGACTACTAAAACACATAGAAGAATGTCTAGAGGTATCTACACAACAACTAAACATTTCGTTACGTTTCCCTTCATTGTAATCTTTTGATGTGACGTGACGTTTCACTGAAAGTGATTTGGTCCACTGTAATTTTTGATATTTCATGCGTTATGAATTACATTAAGAGATCTGTCAAAGCATAAACGCTCGTCTTCTTCCTGCGTTTCAAGCCTTTATGTAGATGGAAATGCTACACTATTGTTCGAAAGTTTGGAATCACTTACACTGCCATAAGGAAATCTAACAATGTTACAAATCAATGGTCTATATTTCTTTAAAATTGTTTATAGAAATCTAATTTCGAAACGAGAAGAATAAAAAATCCATTAGAGCACTCAAGATGTAAAAATCAAACTAAAAATCGATAAAACATTGTTCCTTCTTCATATAAAATACAAGAAAAACGACACGGTAGAAAAAAATCTCCTACCAAATCTATAATAATGTAACAAATAGTAAATTACAATATCCTTCATTTCATTTGCTTTCACAGACCACAACTATAGAAAGTAATCCCAATCATTCAACCGGTAGTACATGTTCTCATCGCAGTTTCACGCAGCAACGAATAATCAACAGCGCATAAATCGACGAATACAACTCAGAACACTTCCTTCTCGAAGTCACCACGATACAACAAACGAATTCGCGCGATCCTCTTTGCTTACTTTTGATACTTGCAAGTTCTTTATTGTCTGTCTAGAGTGTATTCAGATCTACTGAAAGCTTCCCAACGTTTCTCAAAACGAAAAACGAAACGAGAAAGAACAGAAACAAGACGCAGGATATCGAGTTCACAGAAATCCTCTTAACACCGTAAATCGTGCGAACCCATTGTAAAACCGTAGACGCATTATAGAGACGCTCGCGGACGATAAGCAACGTATCGATTGACAAAAGCTTCCCCGGGACTGAATTAATCGATCAAGATTCTCGATTTTACGATCGCTGCGTATGTATACCCTACTAACTTCTCATTTAAACATTTACTCTGTTAGTTTTGTACATGTTTTATGCGCGGTGCATGCAAAGGAACATTTTTCTCGTGTATCGGGGCTAAAGTTGTGCGACGATGGTGTTCGTGTCGTTTCGAATTCTCTTTCGATAAAAAAATAAGGATGATGCGATTCCACTTTATCCTAGCGAGACCCGTGTCGCTAAAACAAGGCGGAACGGTGTTTCCGGGAGATTCCTCAAATCCCCGTCAACGGACTATATGTTTCTCTTATCATTTTTTTTTTCTTCGTGGTTTTCTCTCCCTGTTCTCGTATTTTTCTAAAGAAAAGTTACCTCGAGCCGTCCGAAAGCTCCCGTTCTCGTTGAATGTGAGCGCGTTTCGGCGTGTGTCGATCGAAATCAGGATACATAAGACACCTCGCAGAGACTTCCAATTCTTAATCAATCTGGCATGTGTCGTATGTACAAAAATCGTTCACCTTGCCTCGCGGCGGCCGGTCACACCGGGCCCCGTGTTCATCGATACGCTATATATCGTCGTCCTCGTTTTTATCATCTAAGGAATAACGTTTACAAAATTGGTTACGCGGGTTCAAAAAACGCCGGACTGAACGCCGGCCGTGTTTAAAAAGGATCCTCGGCCGTGTCGGGGGCTTGTTCAATATCCACGATACCCGACACGACGACGTCCCAGTAAAAGAATTACACCTTGTATATTTATGTATAGCCATCTAAAAAATGATTGATTGAGAATAGTATTTCTCTGTAGGTACAGTGACGTTGATTCTCTCGCAAAAATATCGCTTTTAAAAACTACCTGCGCACCCGTTTCCTTTGTCTCCCCCTTCGCTGTTTTTCTCGTGTCGATTTCAGAAAAAAAAAGAAAAAAGAAAAAAGAAAACGAAATTCAAGACGAAACGCGCGAAACTCGTTTCCAAATGGAACACATCGGTCCTCGGATTTTCTGGCCTCCGTCGCGTCGCTTCGAGACATAAACGCCCGACGTTCTTTCTCGTGAATGTTAATGCGACGCTCAAAACGCTTGTCGCTCGGAATTCGCGAGAGTCGCGCGAATATACTACGTTCCCGCGAAACAAGTACGCCCTCGCTCGCTAAAACTACGCTCAACGGAAACTCGAATTCACCGAGACTGTACATTGCATTTGTCTTCCTTTTTTTTCCTTTTGTCGAGGAGAAGAAACTTTCTGTATCACTCGTTGATCTTAGTTTTAGCACAGCGAAAACTTATTTGTTGCTGCGGCCTCAGGGAAAATTGCTAAAGCTTGTACTCGTAACAGGAATTCATTTTTGTGGAATTATTCTTTAGCTTGGAAATAAAAATTCCAATGAAAAATGTGTCTATCGTTTATTGCATTAATCGTAATATAATATAAAACAGCTGATCAAGTATTTCATTGGTAAATCCATAAAAGTAGCATTCCAATTTACGTAACTTCGATATTAACAAGGTTTTTTCAATTTTTACAAAAATGAAAATTCGAAATTTTATTTTCGGAAGCTTTAATGTATTCACGTTACAGAGAAAAATGACTCGGTTGTGCGACTTCAACAATTTTCCGTGAGAATGCAATTTACATGTAACACGCAGTTCCCATTGGACCCTTTATCCTTTTGGGGAACGGAATCTACACAAATGAACGAACCGTTATATTTGATTAATTTTCATCAATAGAAATTTGAAAGTTCCTCGACGAATACCAT